ATTGCATTAATGAGAAATTGAACAGGTGTTCCTAATAATCCTTTAGGTGAGTGTATATCCCTATATGTTATACATCTAATTTCACAATGTGCGAATAATCATCTCTTGTTATTCTAACATATTGACAGAGGCAATGCCTTTGGTTTCAGCTGTTCCTAATTGTGTTTGCAGTTTTAATAATAAATAATGTCAAATCAAATTCCGATTTCCCTGCTGTATGAAAATTGCACCAAAATGTGAACCCAGAACTGGGGTTTATGCCGAACTGTGAATTTACACCCCTAGTAGGCTGGCTTTCTGGGGTTCATTCCCCTAATGATATTGTGGTTTATATATATTAGTGTAAATATTGTTCATTCTTTGGTCTTGTCCTTTGTGTGCACTGTTGCATTGTGCCTCCAGGATTGTGTTGGGTGGGTTGGTGTGTGTGTGTCTGCCTTATGATAAGCTGCATCCTAGCCAGGGTGTCCCTTGGCCTATGCTGTTCTGTCCAGCCTTCCTAACCACAACCATGTTCCCGATAAGACGGACAATGGGCTTGTGGTGTCATTTGAAAAAGTAGATATTATGCTAATACCATTATACAAAACAGGAATGCACATCAATTATATGTATTTATTTATGTGAAACTGAATGATGGCAAACAGCCTTTTCTCTTATATCGCACAAGAGCACTCAAGAGATCTCTCCCCTCAAATTACACAAGTGATCGCTCTCTCATGAGCTGGTACAATGCGCTGACCACTGTTGAACAAGGCTAAGGAATGGGCACCAGTTGTACTTTAGATGTGGTGTTTAATTTGGATGAGATTGTGACACCCATAAGTTCCAGACCACAAGTAATGCTCAGTTCCAAGAACTCACTTTTCCTTTATTGTTGGAAAGTGTTTTATTTACTTCTGGTGGCCATCTGCACTGAGCATATGCTTCCTGGCTGTCACCCAGAGAGGCAGAGGATAAGTTTGGCAGTGATGGTTCGGGGTTTGGCACTTGACCTCATCAGATCAGCCAGCAGACACTGATGAGCTCGACTGTGCTCCAGGCTGTACTGGTTAGTGGTGAACTATTCACAGCGTTGGGAAGCACTTTTCCATACTGTGCACAGAAACGTTTAATATGGGAAAAGTTAATACTGCAGTTTAAGTCCTTGAATGGGAAAGGCCATGGTTTGTGTGAAAGTGCAGAGTTTTCTGTGCATATTCACTCATTATAGAAGTGAAATAGCATGTTACCTTGGTTTTTGTATTCATATTTCGTTCAGTATATTGGTGAAGCGCGTCCGATGTTGTAACGAGTTGAGCTACCTATCGAAACGTGCTATCGAGTCTTTCTGCGCATGTGCAGTTCCACCGTCTTGGGATTAGGGTTAGGTTTTTGGGGTTTGGGTAAGGGTTTGGGGGGGGGGGCGGTTAGTGGTTTTTTTGGGGTTACGGTTAGGGCTATCGATTAGCACTACCGTAGCCTAACTCGACAAAGTAGCTCAACTCGACAGAACACAGGCTTAAGTTTAGCTTTTATTTACTATTTAAAGGAAAAGCAGTACACGGAAGAAATGTAAAGCGCTCCCCCGGTACATCAGAGCATCCTGCGGTCTGGCTGGCACACGCAGGCCTTGCTTTACCAGCGGATCGGCGATGCGCACCGCTTAACGCCTATTTATTACTGGCTTTTGAGTGCAGTTTAACCTGCTCAGGCCGCCATCAGGTGCGTCTGTCGTTGAAACACTCGCGACAACACGTTGATAGAACGCTGGGCAAATATACATCCTATATGCGAACAGCAAAGCTTAGGGGAAATAAACGTTTTAGATTTGTAAACATAACTTTTCTCCATCAACTATCAAATTTTTAACACGACATAATATTTTCATAATTTTGATTAAATTGACTTGTTTAGGGGTTTGTTGCTTAATGCGTTAATACATTGGGGCTCGTTTTGAACGGTTTCAGACCATCAATCCAGACAGGAAACCAGAAATAATTATACAAATTTAAAAAGTTAAATAGTAATTGTGACATTGTAACAGAACATAGTAAGAAACGATGCGCAGCATGACGGATGTATTGCCCACCAGAGGGCTGACAGGACCAGCCCGCTTACGTACCTTGTCTGGAGCCGAGCGCGTTGTTTCAGGCCAGGATTACAAAGTATAATGAAATTGGATTTCCGTGTCCTGCGTGGAGGCTTTTCTATTTGTAGAACCTTATATAGTTAAGCGTCCTCGGTTACGATGAAATAATCACAGATTCGTCTATCTCAGCCTGAGTTTCTCCATGACCCATGCAGACTTTTAAAATTAATAGGGTTCCTATTAACTCTTACATTTCTTTTCCTCCTCGTAATGTTTGTAAAGGAAAGGTTTGCATTCATTGCCAAAATTGGTGTGAACCGCCATGTGAAGACATTTGGAGTATTTGGTAATATGGGATAGGTAAACTATGATTAACTAAACGAATAGGTTGTGCTTATACAGACTATTAATTGGGGGAAAGTAGGCTATATGCCTAAAAACACATATTTCGATCAAACACTCTTATAACTTAGAATGTTTAAGTGCGTTAAACGGCGACACAAAGAAAGTTTGCATGTTCACGGTCTCTTTAAAAGCAACCCATTCGCCTTCCTCGGAGAATGACATGTCCGAAAGGGGAGGACTGGATCCGGAGCCAGTCCAGGAGACTTGGACGGGCTGGAGTGTGTCTACATGTGAAGCGACTAAACAGGGGCGGATGCAGGACTCTCGACGCAACAAGTTAACTATTTATTTATTTATTCGTTTTTCCCCTTCTAATAATCTGGAACAGTGTTCGGGACGGTATCTCCGTCAGAAATAGGGTCTGAACTTTTAGGGGTTTCGGCTCCGGTATGGTATTATGGATTGCACAATGTCAAGGTCTGGATTGCGAATCTGAAGGACGACTGTTTGCATAGTTTCAGATTCACCGATTGACTTTGATTGCTTTTTATATCTGTATGGATTAATTTTTATGGGCATCTCCGGATTCTGTGGCTAGATTATGCATTCGTCAGGATGGGCGCGAACAATGGGAAACAGTGTGGAAGTGAGGGTAAGTATCTATCCTGCATGGGTAAAAACTTCGGTTTTCCAGACCTAAATCGGGGCTTTCTCTAGATCACCCTAAATATGATTAAATCTGTTTTAGTTATTAACCACGTATTTTACTAACGCATATTATTTTAATAGTTTATCATGCAGAGTTCATACGCATAGTTTTGTTTCACTTAATATTTATCGTACTTTCTTTATTGCTCATTTATTTATGGATTATTGTATTTCTTAAAACACCAAGCTTTTAACCGTATTATGCTGTTAAAAGTGAGCAACTTGAAAAACAAGGAAAACATAATTCCTTTATAATACCTTTATATGAATCATACAGCGACTGATACGCCTTTTAAAACTATAAGCTTATTGTGTTTAGTGTTGCATATGGCATAAGAAAGGTACGTCTATTTTATCCCCGCCCCTTGACCAACCTGGTCTGCGTGGTATTAGCGCCGTAGTGGACGTCAATCACGGCAAATTAAGTTTATTATACCAGTTTAATAAACGCTTAAATATCTGCGCGATCTGTTTTAGATGCCATGGACTGAATATAATACCAGAAATGCCATAACACAGTATGATGTGTAAACGCCACAGAACGCTTCATACTCACATTAATTGGCGTAGGGGATCATTCTAACTAAACAACATCCAATAAAATAATGGTCATTATCCGTGCCATACTGATAATATTAGAAATGTGAAAATTAACGTCTATGGTAAATAGATGTTTATAATTGAGGCAAGAGTAATTTGTGTCGATGATAAACCATTGCAAAAGATCAGTCCTTACTTAACATTTTAACGACGACTGTCTATGTCCATACGTTACTTTAGTGTGAATAGGCATCGTCGTTTCGAGCGTCTTACACACGATCATGGAATGAGTTGTTGAATCTGCTGGTAAATCCCCTACATTAGGTTTTTGAAACAAGATTCATTATTTATTTAGATAAATCTTATAACCTAGTGCTGGATTTTTAAATATTTCTTCACTATCTTCACTTGTTGCTTTCAATAGTTCGTTAAAATGTATTGCCTATTGAAATAAACCGAAGAACAGACAGATCTTGGCTATCAGACACTTAACTACTAAACGCAAATTCCTATTAGCGCCCCCAGCAGACAGTAGGTGTTGCACGCGTTTCCCTTTAGCTGGTAGAACTGTAAACATCATGTAAATATAGAGATGAAAACAAAAAATTCGCAGCTGCTGTTTTATTATTATTATTATTATTTTTTTAAAATAGATTTTCTAATGGTATGTTGGTAATTTTCTCCCTCAGATGAGGGCCACGCTGACCATCATTCTTTTGCTGATTTCAGCACTTGAGAATTCAGCTTCTCCAGTTTTTTTAATAGACCTTTTTATAAGAACTTGTGCCTTTTGAAATTTTTAATAAGTTTTGCCTTTTAGGCATGGCTGTGGCTTGTGAGTGTAGTTTCCTATTCATCAGACTTTGTTGCGGGTGGTGTTCATGTCTGAGGTGATGTCTTAGTGGCATCAGTTTAACTGTGGAATATCCATTTAAACTTCCTTGTATTTTATGGTATTAGTAGCGGCCAATGGTATCTTTTTGAAAGGCCCAAGACAGATTATACTAATTTGAGTGAGTAGGAAAATGCAGGAGCTGTGTGGGTGAACCTGATCTTTGCACTAAAGACCATGACATTGTCCCTCATACCCTTGCTTACATCAGTGCTCCTTAGGCTCGGCGATGTGTCCGACGGGATGCAAGAGAATCCCGACACTGCCAGCCCTAAATGAAAACACATTACCCGTCTGCTTGCAGGATCACTGCGCGAATCCATGTCCAAGAGCCCACTGGAAGTCTCTTTGGAAAATATTTTTGCAGTGTGGTAGCACCGTGCTTCAAAGCAGAAGTCAAATTTTCATTGGCATTTCAGCATAATTGAAGTCTAGGCAACTTTCTTCCAGTGTAATGCAGGCGGACATTTTGTGTTCACAAGGCCTTGCCCTGCCAGAGATAAAGGTCCCTGGTTCATGCAGCCCTGTCTGTTTTGTATCAATAGTCAGATGCGTTTGTAATCCTCTTATTTCATTACGTATGTATATAATGTATGATTTTTATTTTTTTTTTTTGTAAAGGAAAACTGACTTAGTTTGTGCTCTCAGACGGAGTGTAACTTGAGCCCAGGGATGGTGTAGAGTAGTTCTCCACCCTGTCAAGAACCTTCGGTGTGAAGCTGAGGGAAAACGATCTGTTGCAGCTGCATTTGGCTTTTACTGGAATCTAAGTCTCAGGCAACATCATCTGCCAAGACCTCTCTCTGCCAAGAGGGGAGGAATGCATTCAGCGTTGACATCACATGCAATTGAGCAGTGGAGGTGTTGATGAGTAATGACAGGGGGCAGGTGACATCTCAGAAGACCTGGACAACAGGGCACAGACCTGGAGGGTGGCAAGTTACTCCCTGATGGTGGGTGATAGATTTGGAAACCAAAACCAGTTAGTGGAGTCACTTGAAGAGATCTGAATCACAGCGGACTTCATTTAGCCTCATGGTCACCCATAAATGTAGGAACCAAAGTTTCAGGAAGTGCCAAATGTTCATTTTTACGTTTTATTGGTTCCTCTGGTTTGAATAGTAAATACATTGTAGAAGTGAGAGGATAGGGCCTTCTGTGGGCTGTTGAGGAATTAGCGAAGTATCTCACCAGCTCCTTAGTGGCACTTTCAGACCCTGTACAGGAAGTTACAGAGAAGTGTGGAGATTTCTCTGTTGGTTGGTGTCTTGAAAACCCATATAACATAATGGAAAGGGTGAAAATTGCCAGAAACAGCAGAGCCATTCCAGAAGGTGTTGTTTACCACTTTTTTTCTCTCTATCACCTCTCTCTCTCAAGTGACATGAAAAAGCAGAGCAGTTTTTGTCTCTAAGGGGCACAATAGAGGAGACAGATGAGAAAGCCGCACCTTCTAACCTGCAGGTGCTGTGTGGCATATGAGTGACTGGCACACCTGGTAAACTCTGACCGTGAACTGAAACGGAGAGCGGTGATATTGTATTAATCCGTACTCATGGTTTAAGGCGAGGTTAACTGGGAGTAGAGAACTGGATGTGTCCCAGCATTGGCAGCGCAGGCCAGCTCTGCTGTTAAATAATTGGATGGTCTGGGCAGATTTAAAATCTGGTTTCCCACTCGCATGCAAGCAAATATTTAACAAGTGTAACAAAAGGGGAGACGGAGAAGAGAAAGCATGGCTGGCCTCTGGACATAAGCCAGGCACATTTAGAGCATCTTGTTGCCTCATACCTTTTTTCATCCTCATCACTTCCATCTGTTCAAAAGCAGGAAAAGCGTAGCTGGCTAATTTCTCATTACTGCCAGCTACATGGTCCCATTCAGTGCGTCGAGCTAAACCCACAGCCCCCCCGGTAGACACTGGGGGTCACCACTGTTTCAGCCGTCATGCCTTCTTGACAAAAGTGTGTTTTCTTTTGCCTTTAAACAGCTGATGTGTATGAGTCTGGTGTGAGTGTTTCTCTGTCTGTAGGGCTTTGTTCTTTAACACTGGCTTGCTACTGTGTCCGGTTACACACCTGCAGAGAGGAAACAAGGGTCAAGGGAGGCAGATCTATGCAGAGAGGAGGAGCAGAAGTGAATCTGAAAGGCATGGAAATGGGCGTTACTGCTACTCGACATGTCAAGGCACTTCAGCATCAGGACTGATTTGTGATTGATACAGCCTGATACTGTGGTTCAGTTCTTGTTCTGCATGTGTGGGCAAAATCGGGAATATGATGGTGGGAGATCTTTAGGGACCCACTGAAGCGGCATTTTGCTTAGCATTTCATCCACAATCGGGAGACACAAGTGATACAAGGACCATTGAAAGCCACACAGTCACGTTCACCATGCTCTCCTCTGCATGTGAAGCTGCTCTTTGTGAGTATTGAAAGGATGCATATGAATCCCCAATAGCTTCATGGCTCATGAGCTTGTGATTGCTTTGGAGTGCTTTGGTGATGTAAACGGGACGGTAAGAAATGACAGCGTGAGGACGATGATGCGTGTCTCACATTTTAGTCCAGTCCGGCTTTGATACTTGATATGTGCTAAAATGTAGATCTGGTTTTGGAAGAGGGTGTCTGTATGCGAGGTTGTGTTTATGTATATCGTGCGCTGTGTGTGTTCTCAGTGTGACCCTGAGTCCAAGGCTCCCTGTTAAGCCTCCTTGAAGCAGGGGGTCTTGTGGGTCTGTATTATTGAATCGCCCCCAGTCCTGGTAGCACGGGAAATTAGCCTCATACGGTCTCTGAGCACTATGGTTAAGTGGGATGAGGCTAAACTGAAGGAATGTGGCTCTACCTTTGGTGTTTCTCACCACATTCATCCCTCATCGTCCAGCTCGTCTTCCCTGCTGCAGGGATCCTGTCTGAGGTCTTGCTTTTCCACAATTGGGAAACGGCTCTGCACTGTTTTCCGCTCGGAATCCAATTTGCAAGAAATGCATGAAAGATGGAGCGTCCTACATTGTGCATGAATCATATGTATAGCCAGCTTTGTTCTAATGTCACGTGATCACAGTTGGATGGTTTTGTCTCTATTTCACTCCCATGTTGTTCAGATTATTTATTTGGCTGGGATGATATTTCACAAGGTGGGACTATTGATCAAGGCACTGAAGGAAAAGGACTTTTTTTTTACTACCTTAATGTATTGCTGTTGATTACAAATTGATCATTTGTAGTCTCTTCTCTGGAGAAACCCCTTCCATATGTAAACCAGCGCTTTATCCCAGATGAGTATGTGAAATGTTTATGGCGGAAAGTAGAGCAGTGTTTCTCAAACCGGTCCTCGGCGGCCCCCAGACAGTCCACCTTTTTTCTCCCTCCCAATTCCCTGGGAGTTGGGAGGGAGCAAAAACATGGATCATCTGGGGGTCTCCAAGGACCGGTTTGAGAAAGGCTGAAGTAGAGACCCGGAACATTTACGCCCTCTTATCCTGTGTCTGGCAGTCTTTGTGAAGCATGTTAAAATGAATTAAAGTCCTTGTCTGTATAGTCTGGGTAAGAAGGTCATTATTTCAGAGAGACAGCTGCTGTTGATGGAGTCTCTTCACGGCTGTCAGGTCTCAGGCGATGAGTGAAGGCTCTAGAGGAGATGAAGGGAATGGAACTGTAGCCCTTCGTGGTCTGGGATATCCAGGAGGGCTTTGGATCCCGTCTGTAATCTGTACTGTGTGCAGAAGGGGGTGAATCACAGCAATACAGGCCGGTTTTTGATTTAATACAGTACCATAGGGCTGGATTAGCTGACAAAATTCATTCGGGGTATGTATGTGGTGGGCTGGTCTGGGCAAAAGTCCATGGCCAATTTTTAATCCCAGTACAGCCCTGCAGTACTATACATGTTTGATTCCATATGATACGGGGTGAGTTTAGTGCAGTAGTAAATGCATTGGTTTCACTGTTCAATATGTACAATACAGTTCAGTTTTGGGTATATGGTTAGGATGCATGGGTTTTGGACAGTTGATATAGTCATATATGTTTTATATACATCAGGCATCCCTGGGGGCTCTCTGACAAAGACCCGGTTCCAAGGGGCAGGTAATGATATCTCTTTTAAAAAAAGTACTTATGGAACAGCAGGAGGGCATCAGCTCATGTCCCTGATGCACAGGTGGTGAGGAAACATTGTAGAGAATGTCACACTCTGTGTCCCTACCTGTGTTTCTGTGATATTTTTTTTATCTCAGTTTTACCCAACAATGTCAGCTAAGAGTTTTACTCCATTGAACAGCTGTGTATGTTCTGGATACTTACGAGCTAAGTACCTAAGTTGCTCTGGTGTGCAAGAGCTGTTCTGGGATTTGACCGTGTATCATTTTGGTTACCAGGGCTTTAACCACTTAACCACCTGCTACCACGACGCGTATGGAAAGTGACACTATGGGAGGCGGCTTCCCTGTGTCACGGTGACCACAGTGAGCGTGGGGCCGTAGGCTATGCTTTACTCCAGTGGGGTTCAGTTTGGCTTAAGCACCTCATCAGAGTCCCTCGTGCGGTAATGACCGTGTGCGCTCCTCCATCGGGGTGCGGTTCACTCCGGCGGGATTCAGAATCCCTCGTGCGGTAATGACCGTGTGCGCTCCTCTCTCTGGGTGCGGTTCAGTCCGGCGGGATTCAGAATCCCTCGTGCGGTAATGATTTTTGCGCTCCTCCATCGGGGTGCGGTTAACTCCGGCAGCGCACCATCTGAACCATCATAATTTGTACATAAATAAATGTGAAAATAACAGGTCTGGCTAGCTTGTTTTTATTGCCACAGTTATTGACTGTAGGTGTCAAAACAAAGACTGAGAATTCAGTGCCAGCAGTGACCAGGGGGAGGTTTAAATTGGCATTTCCTTTTCTGAGCATGGTGTTTGTGTGCAAATGCAGCATCATGCTGCCCCACACACAGACACACACACGCACACACACACAGAAAGCCAGGGGCGGCCGTGTTTAAGACTAGCTTCTAAGAGAAGCCCAGTAAACAACGTTTAAAAAAGCCTGCGGAGGTGAGGCCTGGCTGTTCTCACTGACTGACAGCAGTACTGACCAACCCCAATCCTTTTCCATGACGGACTGACTGTATCCGCTGAGCAGAGGATCTCCCTTTGTCATATCAGTGGCTCAGTGGGTAGCACTTTCGGTTTATCTCACACCTCATAGACTGCTGGATTAAATCATGCTTCTTCTCCTCTGTCATTACCTGCTTCTGAGAGGAATTCCATTTTCCACCCACAAAGACATACAGTTAGGTGAGTTGGTCTCTCTAAAATCGCCTGTGCTGACCCCGGCCATGTGCTGCATGCGGCCTTGGATAAGCTCCAGGTCTCCCTCGTTAATGAAGGGAGTTAAAGCTGCAGTGTCACCTTATTGGCCGGGGCTGTAGCTACTTCCTCTGCCTTGTGAGAGGGTGCGCAGCTTTCAGCCGTCACTCTGCACACAGCTCCTCTCGCACCACGGCCTTCTTGGACGAGCCCGCACCGCTCCAGGCCTGGCATATGGTGTCCATTTTGTACGGGAGAGCCGGGCAGAGCCAAGGCTACAGAATCGGCACCGATTTAAGTGGAGCTGTGCAGTGCTGGACCTCTCTGGCCCGGCTCTGACCTCCTCACCCCAAAAGTAAAGCCCAGGCTGTAAATGTAGGAATGCTTCACAGCGCCAGACAACAACAGTCTGTCTGTCTGTGCGTGTGGATCAGATATACATTACATTGTGGGGACCAAATGTCCCCATAATGTAATAAAAATCCCTTATTTTGATGTTGTGAGGATCTTTTTTTTTTTGGTCCCCACAAGGGGAAATTCAAATGTATAAAAATCTTTAACTGCAATCAAAAAACTAAAAATGCCAAAAGACTTGTATTTTGTTTGGTTACTTATGGTTATGGTTAGCGCTGGGTAGGTGTTAAGGGTGTCATTGTTGGGATTAGAGTTTTGCCCAGAGAAATGAATGGATGGTCCCCACAAAGATATGAGGACAGGTCTGCCTGTGTCTGTGCGTGTGTCCCTGTCCGTGTGTCTGTGGCCTGTGATGGGCCAGCATCCCCGCCAGGGTGTACCCCCAGCCCTGTGTCTCCTGGGGAGGGCTTAGGACCCCTTTACACCAGTCCAGGATAACTGATTTGAAGATGGATGGCTGGGGCTAGGGGAGCTGAGATCTTTGCATACTGATCGCCAGGGTTGGCTGATAAACTGTCATTCAAGGTCTCGCACAAGAGGCTGCACACTGCCAGCCCACCGTTTGCGGACTATTTGCTTCTTCTGGCAGGAAAATCACTCCCGTGAGAGGTGCCTCCCTCTCCCCAGACGTGCCCCTGATGTCCGCCTGTCCGGCACCGTGTCCCAGCATCGCTCTGCATGTCCCTGAGGCTTTTTCTGATCTCTGCTCTGCTGTCTAGGTAAAGGCAGCTCCAGTATCTCCTCCGACGTGAGTTCAAGTACGGATCACACGTCAACAAAAGCTCCCAGGAATGTAGCTACCAGCGAAGGTAAGCATCTGGTGTTCATTAGGGGCCGCTGTGCTCCTCCTCTCCCCTCCCCTGCCCGCCTGCCCGCCCGCCTGCCTCCCTGCCGCTGTTTCTCTGGTACTCCGATGACTATTTTTGGAAGAACTGTGTGTTTTTAGAAGTGTCTCATGCTGAAAACAAACTGCTGTTTTCCCATGTTGTACTTCGGAGACGTTCATAAGTGCTGAAAAGCCAGCCCTGCCCACTCAGTCCCACCCCACCCCGGTGCACGGATCCCTCTCCGACATCCAGGCCAGCGTTAGGAACACAAGCATGAGGGGGGTGGGGGGGTGGAGGAGAGACCCCACACATCTCGGCCTCCTGACTGGGCCGCGCGTTGTCAGCATGCCGTCTTCCCCTGTGGAATGGGGAATGCTCGTCTTTCCCCAGGTGCAGCTCTTACAGTCGGAAAAACGGCGGGTGCCCTTTTTAGGCGGGGAGTGCCTGCGCTCAGCGATGGAAAACACGGCCCCCCGTCCACTTGGCAGGCTGCTCATCGATTCTCAGGCTTGGAGGCAGATGGCCGTTTGGAGAGAAGTTTTGTTTCCAATTAACAGCTCTGTGTCACCATAACGTCATGTGCAGCCGGAGATATCAAAAGAAAATATTATGGTGGTTTGCCAAAATTTATTCTCCAGGAATGTTAATATTGTAGTTAAGAGGGCTGTAATATAATATTTTCCTAGTGGTGGTATTATTTCATTGTTATTTTGGCACTTTAGCTAGTTATCATATTTGTATAATCATCTCATATCTTCAGCTGAGGGTCCGCAGTACCGTTTGGTGAATTCGGTCTCGTATTTCGGATTACAGTGATTCATATCGCACTGTCAGGCAGTCTCCGCCGGTGTGTGTGTGTTCACCTGTGAAATGGCCTTTTGTTTCACTGAACACTACCTTTGGCTCACTTTCTTCTTTCAGATGCTCTTTATGCAGGGAAAACAGATGTAGGTCCGGTCCAAAGGAGATCGCGGGCCTGTCAGAGGCAGATCTGGGCCAGCGGCCAGACACGCACATGCACACATACACACAGACGCACACACTTAGCGGATTCTGGCTTGTAGACCTTTGCATGGAGCTCCTGGTGGCTATTCCGGGATTATATATGCCGTAATTTGTCTTCCTGGACTTGGCGCCAGTAGAATTATAGCAGGGAGGGCGGCTCTCTCAAAAACAACAGCGATGCCCTGGGCAGGCCACGCTCAGAGTAGCTCGGGTCCTTGCCAGTCGCTTTGTGGGGGACCTGATTTGGAGGACCAGCTCCAACCAGCCCATCCTGGGTGGGAAGTCATGCCCACGGCCTGGCCGAACGGGCCGACACCCGACCGTCTCAGAGGAGGTGCCTTTCTGCTGTGGTTCTCAGTTTTCTTGAACGTTCTTCACACGCTGAGGGGAAACGCTCTGGTACGTCAGCTGTTCTTCTGCGATACTCACAGGTCACGTACACGTAGGTGCTGGATCTTCAGGACTTGCAAGCGGAACTTAATCCCTCCGCAGCCATTTTTTTTTTGTATCGCCTGTGAGGTCAGGGTCTGGATGGGTCGAGTGTTTGCTCTGTATCTCTTACCTGTTGTCTGCAGAAGATGAGCTTTGCCAGCGGTGACTAGCAGCAATGCTGCCCACACCACTGTGATCCCTGTCCAGGCTTCCAGTACTGCCACAGCATGTAAGGGAACGGACATCATGTTTGTCGGTATCACCTGATGCAGAAGAAGCTGTCAAATGACTGAGAGTGAGTGTAGGACAGGAGGATCAGTCAGTGATGGACTGTACATATATGCTGTGCACATACACACCTGCCACTTAGGGGTGACCCTCACAGAGTTCTGGATCATCACAGTTCTAAAGCCGAGGCATGGATGGATGGATGGATGGATACAATTCGTCTTGACTGCTTCACTCATGGTCAAAGCAAAAGGTTCCTTTTTGAGACTTCAACCTGTAAACCCCTCAGTAGCGTGTTCTGCATGTGGATGAAGGAATTGAGGAGGGAATGAGGGAGAGAGAGAGGGAGACAGGGAGAGGCTGGGCAGCTGGGTGGGTGGCTGGGGGGGGGGGTAGTCTGGACATCTTTATCTCAGGAAGCAGGACCCGAGTGCTGCTTTATAAGACGATCCGATTCTTCAGGGTCTCTCTGCCTGTCATATACAAAAGGGTGATGATCCTCACCAACTGCTGTGGTCACCAGTGATCCCAGTACTCACTGATGTCCTCATGTGTCACCAACTGTTTGGCTGATGTAAAATGAATCCGGCGGCTGATTTTAGTGGTGCACGTGTGCTCTGACTTATGGACGGTCAGTCTTGCTTCTGACTGTTCTCTGTTATGACAGGTGGCTCCAGTCAATGATATCATCATGATGTATATATCTGTGCCTGCTCACCGCAGCTGCAGGTTGGAGGAGAAACTACATCCTAAAGTGTAGCTGCTAATAGCAGCTACATTTTCTCCATTCTGGTAGATTACTGCCGGCCCTCTCCCCCCGTGTGATTGTTGGCACGGCTACCCAGAGTGCAGACATCCCACTGCGCTGTTTCCAGAAGGATTTCCTCCAGATAAAAACCAACAAACCGCTTACGCCTCACATTCCTTCTTCTGTAGCCCCCCGGCGACACAGCCTGCCGCAGGCCCATCGTCACAGTCTCTCTGGAGGAGACACCTGACCCTTTTAGGGCTGTGTGGGAATGGCACCCCTGCTGCCTCTGCCCGTTGGGGGGTGGGGGTGGTACGCTCGATACTAAACGCATCGCGTGCCGCTGTGTGATTTTTACCACGGCCCTCAAGCTGCTGTTGTTGAAGTGTGGGCTCTTCCTGCCAAGGCTCTTACCGACTAAGCTGCCCTGCTGCCAAGCCGACTGGCCCAGCGCACATGCACTTGCAGGACTGCAGGGGGTGCCTGGGTAGGACTGATGGCACGTGGAACTGGAGCGTTCGATGTGTGGACCACTGCTTGATCACTGCAGTCACCCAGATCAAACTTGTTCACTGTAAAGAAACGGGGCAGGTAAAGTCCCTCACCTTCCAGTGTAAGTGTAAGGGGCAGGTAAAGTCCCTCACCCTCCAGTGTAAGTGTTAGGGGCAGGTTCTGTAGTATATTATGTGAAAATTCTGAACAAAAATCTTTGGACAAGTTTTTGCAGTTTTAAGCAGATCTGAATTTGTGCTGCTGGACTGCTTATCTATGAAGCTGTTAAACCTTCCTTGGGTTGTTAAAGTTCACGCAGCAGCTCTGCAGATCCGTGAGCCGTCAGCCAGCAGAACGGCGACCTTTGTCTGTGGAGCGGGCGGCACTAGAGGCTGCTGTGGCAGCGAGGGGGACTGTGCGCGACTCCGACCCTAAGCGGAACCTCTGCGTTCTGGCAGCGGCCGTCGTCTCGGGGTTCTTTAAAAAGGGGAATTGAACACAGACGCTGCCTCAATTAGTGTGGAGGAATGTGGCGCTCTCTGCGGCTGGGGGTGTGGGCTGGTGTAGCGAGCGGGTCCGCCGCTGTTTCGCATTACCGCCAGAGCGCTGGACAAACCACACCAGCGCTTTCCACTTCTCTCACCGGAAAGTCACTGCCTTTCCAGTGCGAGTCTAACAAGTCTTTCTGAAGAGTAAACAAGTAAATCCCACACTGATTCTGGCATCTCAAGTCAAGGAGGGGTAAGAAAATATGCCCCAGTAATCAACGTGCATGCAGATGTAGAGGTATCCCATATTTCTGGGGCCATGCAGTGTCATCAGTACTCTGCTCGCTCTGTCTATCCACCCCCTCCCAGTGCACAGGCCACTACCACGGGGGAAACCGGATCTCATTGTCTGAGTGAGCTGCAGTTCACTGAGAGTGTGTTACGCCAGCACCGGCGCAGTTCGGCCTGTACTGCTGGTACACACCTGCCCTCAGATTTACACAGCATCCCTAAGTGCACGATAGCAGTGTTTCCCAACCTTGTTCTTTGAGGAACCACAGCAAAAATGTGGACTGTTTGGTAGGGAGCTGGGAGGGAGCAAAAACGTGAACTGTCTGTGGTTCCCCGAGGACCTGTTTGGGAAACACTGCACTACAATATCTTTTTTTGCAGTTTTCCAGTGTGTTTGAGAAACTGACAGCTTCATTAGGTGATGTTTCACTCATCTTCTTGAGATGCTGCCATATTCCTCTCCATCCCTCTATTCTTCCTTGTGTTAACTTCAGCAGTCTTGTTTGCATTAGAGTGATTGCGTGTGGAAAAGCACATGTCTGACACAGCAGTTGGGACACGTGTTTTCCTGATGGCAGAGCACAGTGGCGGAGTGATGGTCTACTGGAGACCAGTCTCCCAGTTATAATAAATGAACCAAACAGCGATGTTATTTAATATGGAGTCGGAGGAAGTCCCTGGTTCAGGTTTGACAGTCTTTCCTCAAGACTGAAGATGTCACTGTTCCCAGGCTGCGAAAGCAGCTGGCAGTGAGCACATCGGGTGCTGCCCTGCTTCAGGTCCGCTCAGCCTCTACACCCGGGAGCTGCACACGGCCCTGTAACCCCGCAGCGAATGCTGTCATCGATAAAACTCGGCTGCCTTTCCCTCCTCGTTGGCAGCAGCCTTGTTTAAAAGCGGGGAGGTTTTTATTTACAGTTACGCTGGCGCGAGGCTCGGTCAGGGCCGCATCGCCGTGGTAAATTATGAGCACTAAAGTGAAGGAATGCGGAGAGGACGTCTGCTGGCCTTCGGGGAGAGGGGTGCGTGGGGGGTGTAAGCAGAGGGAGGGTCGTGGAGGGTTAAGAGCCCCCCCCCCCCCCCCCCCCCCCCCCCCCCCCCCCCCCCCCCCTTCTCCTGCTCTCAGCCTCGTTATCTGTGCACTCACTCCTCCCCATCTGTGGCTTGGGATAACTGCCATTTAATAATATCATGGAGCCATAATTTGGTTTTATTTCTTTTTTTTACTGCTATTGATGGCAGATAATGGGCCATGCAATAACACTTGATTAGGGCTTCTGCTGGGGAGCCCACATTCC